TTTGGATGCTCCCCACGCGTTATTGCCTTGATTAGTAGTCTCTTTGGATGCTCCCCATGCGTTATTGCCTTGATTAGGGGCGTTATTTCCTTGATTAGTAGTCTCTTTGGATGCTCCCCACGCGTTATTGCCTTGATTAGTAGTCTCTTTGGATGCTCCCCATGCGTTATTGCCTTGATTAGTAGTCTCTTTGGTTGCTCCCCAAGCGTTATTACCTTGATTAGGAGTCTCTTTGGTTGCTCCCCAAGCGTTATTACCTTGATTAGGAGTCTCTTTGGTTGCTCCCCATGCGTTATTGCCTTGATTAGGAGTCTCTTTGGATGCTCCCCATGCGTTATTGCCTTGATTAGGAGTCTCTTTGATTGCTCCCCATGCGTTATTGACTTGATTAGGAGTCTCTTTGGACGCTCCCCATGCGTTATTGCCTTGATTAGGAGTCTCTTTGATTGCTCCCCATGCGTTATTGCCTTGATTATTAGGAGTCTCTTTGGATGCTCCCCATGCGTTATTGCCTTGATTATTAGGAGTCTCTTTGGATGCTCCCCACGCGTTATTGCCTTGATTATTAGGAGTCTCTTTGGATGCGTTATTGCCTTGATTATTAGGAATCTCTTTGAATGGGTCTTTCTGATCGAGAATAACTAAATTGTCAGGTTTTGGTATACGTCCATTTGTATCAATAAGAGATAATTCTTGAATAACCCAAGAAGTCCATTTTGGTGGTAAATGTTTGATATGTGCTAAATTAATCGGATCTGTTTGAACCTCTTTATCACACATCATCGCAGAAGAACCCTTATCTATTGTTGAAACTTTTTCTCTTCGCGTTTCTAAATCGGATGAATCAGATGAAACGATTTAAATTCAAAAATTTATGGATAAATAACATAAATCATTAAAAACCTATTAAATCAACTTCATTATCATAATTACGATCTTTTGGTGGCGGTGGTCGAGGCACTTTAGGAGATGTTTTAATATTATTATAACTTGGATCCCATCTATCATCATCATCAGCTTTATTGACACCAGCACTCCACGTGCCTTCGAAAGAGGGCACACCCCTGTTTGGTGAATTCGCATTACACGCTGGTCCTCTAGGCGAAAATGTTTGTTCAATAGGCCTTGAAGGCTCAGGATTTCCCCAAGTATTCGACATTACTATTTGAAGATCAATATTTGATTAAACGAGTTTGATCACAAATACCAAGACTCAAAAAAAAAAAGACCGCGATAATGCCGGTCCATAAATAAGAAAAGAAACAAAAACGCGAGTAGATCCCGATATTTTAATTTATTTTCCAAACGACAAATTCAATAAATTTGCCCTTTTCCCTGAAATTAAGTTTGCTTACCTTTTATCAGTACTTTTAACGCGAAGATCAATTGTTGGTAAAAAAGATTGATTTTACGGGTTTTATACGATTCGTAATATATATATAGTGATAATATATGACATAAACATATGACAATATATTATCCTAGTCACTAAAAGTACTCTTTTAAAAGTTAATTGAATATCACATGTCACCTAAGAACCAGTTTCAGAATCAGAACCAGTTCCAATACAGGAACTAGTTTAAAAAAATTCCATTCAACCCGATTTTTTTACATACGTACGTCTCTTTCAAAGTTGTCGATTATCGTTAGTTATTATGTACGTACGTACATACATACCGGTATGTACTGACGTAAGTACAGTACACTTACGGCGCATGGGACAGTTGGGAAAAGCTGGGAACAAATTTTAAATACAGTAATTCAAAAAATTTATTAAGATCTCATGTTCAAATTTTAATTTTACATATTTTTCATTATTGCCTTAATACGTATAACTTTTCTGATTAAAAATTAAGAAAATTGATGGACAAAGTTGGGATGTCCTGGGACGGGACAAGGCCAAAAAGGCTCAGGACGTACGTACGTACGTACGTACAAATTTGGGCCACACCTGTGATGTTTAAAATCATAGTTGCCGTGCTTCGAAAAATTTAAAATCAATAATGATGTTCTAACTTTCAACATAAAGATCCCTATCGAGAGGCACTTCATTACCAGCTAATTTGCATAGCGATTAATAAAATTTGGTATGAATGATAAGTATTTTTAAGGTTTTGTCCGAGATATAATCAACTATGGATATAATGGACATGTGCAACAGTATGCATATGTTGCATTAATGATCGTGACTTTTGAAATAACTTATATTTCGGAAGATCATACTACAATTACTACAGTACTAGTAAAATCTACGCAAAGCAGGCTTAAAATCAACCAATAAAATTTTGCCACGTGATTATAAACTTTATGATAAATCAGTTTTCAAATAATAATTATACGTGCGTATATAGTAGTAAAATCAACTTATGTGGCCTGTATCTCAAATATAAAAAGTTTAGAATATTAAAATAATAGTTTGAGTTGTTGCAAATAAAGTAGTTTAAGCTTTTATGCTTGTATATA